AAGTATGTGTACTATGTTTACTATTGGCATAAGTTTTTGGTTTATTTTGTTGTAATTAAGAAGTCATCCTTCTGGCCGGGCTCGGTGGCGCAGCCTGTAATCCCAGCACTTTGGGAGGCTGAGGCAAGTGGATTGCCTGAGCCCGCAGGTTCAAGAGCAACCCAGGCAACTTGGTGAAACCTTGCCTCTACAATAAATCAAAAATTAGCCAGGTGTGGTAGTGCACACCTGTAGTTTCGGCTACTTGGAAGACTGAGGTGGAAAGATCGCTGGTGCCCAGCAGGTCAACACTGGGGGAGCAAGTGTGCCACTGCACTCCAGCCTGGGCGACAGAGTAAGACTCGAACTCAAAAAAAAAAAAGAGAGAGAAAAATAAGAAGAAGAAAAAAAATCCTTCTGTGCCATGTCAAATCAGAAATAGATTTCAGAATTCATTCCTGCTTTCTTTTACATCAGTGAGATTACTTGATTTATTAATGTGTATTATACTAATATTTTCTCTTTACATGAATTAATGTGCTTATTTCTCTTCCTGGCTTCCAGTGGCCACCTTCTCTCTATGACCTCACTCACATGGCCCTCCCTTGGTGTGTTAACATGGAGGAAGAGAGAACTCTGGTGTCTCTCTCTTTTTTTTTTTTTTATGGCTTTTTAAAAATTTCAAGCTGGGCGCAGTGGCTTACATCTATAATTCTAGTACTCTGAGAGGCAGAGGCGAGAACATTGCCTGAGCCCAGGGGTTCGAAACCAGCCTGTGTAACTTGGTGAAACCTTGTCTCTACAATAAATCAAAAAGTTAGCCAGGTATGGTGGCTTTCGCCTGTAGTTCCAGCTACTTGGAAGGCTGAGGTAGAAGGATCGTCTGAGCCCAGCAGGTCGAGGATGTGGTGGCTGTGAGCGTGACACTGCACTCCAGCCTGGGTGACAGTGAGACTCCGACTCAAAAAAAAAATTTCAATAGCTCTAGGGGGTACAAATCATTTTTGGTTACATGGTTGCATTGTATAGTGGTAAAGAAGTCGGGGCTTTAAGTGGACTCACCACCCCTACCTGTGCACATTACCTGACAGGTGATGTTTCATACTTCCACTCCTTTCCCCCTTCTAAGTCTCCAGTGTCCATTATACCAATTTCTATGTCTTTGCATACGCTTTATAACATTTTTTTCTTTCTCTTTTTCTTTTTTTTCAGTCGGAGTCTCATTGTGCTGCTCAGGCTGGAATGTAGTGGCATGCTCACAGCCACTGCAGCCTCAACCTGCTGGGGTCAGGTGGTCCTTCCACCTCAGCCTTCCAAGTAGCTGGAACCACAGGCAAGTGCCAACACACCCGGCTAATTTTTTATTTATTGTAGAGATGAGGTCTTGCCAAGTTGCCCAGGCTGGTCTCGAGTCATGGGCTCAGGCCATCCTCCCACCCCCACCTCCCAGGTGCTGGGATTACAGGTATGAGCCACTGTGTCCAGACCCTTTTTAACATTTTCTAATTTTATATGTGTGTAATCGAAATAAACCCATCTAGTTATGCTATATTGCCCTTTCGATAGATTGGGTTTGACTTTCCAGTGTTTATTCAGCAGTTTTGCCTCCTCATGTGAGCTCCCCTTTAATATCTATGTTCGTAGATATGTGCATGCATGGACCTTTGGAACTGTTAACATACTATGGAACTGATTTTCTTTATGGTTTAAACGAATTTATCC